ATTTAATTAAAATGGGAATATAACAAATTGATGCTTACACTTCAGTGTGATAGGCCAGGGAAACAACGGAAAGTCCTTCACTCTAAATGCATCAGAGTCTATCAGAAATGGCCACTTGTGAAATTTTAATTGAAAATTCACACCTGATAACACCAAGGGTGAAGAGAAAAAAATCATAAAGGACAATGTCTTTCCTTTAATGCAATGAGGAACCATAAGCAAGAAAGGACGGAAGAGAGTAGAACGTCGCTGTGCACGTAAGCTGAACACATTGCACACAGATACTGGCACGCTAAGAAATGTTTTAAAATGTTGTCATATATTTTTCAGGGTTGAAAAAAACAACCAATTAGAAAGAATACCCACTCACTTTCCAGACAGAGAAGAAACAAGAGGCCTGTTTCTGGGTCAGGAGCAGCCCTCTGGAGCAGCTGCACGTAGGTGAAGTTCTCGTGTGTGTTGCGGTCGAAGAAGCCCTTGGTGTCGTCGCTGGGGTCCTCCAGGACGCGGTTCATCCCCTAGTCGAAGTAGCCGCGCCAGTAGGCCACGTCCACGGGCAGGTGGCGGCTATGCACGGGGTCGATGACGCTGCTCGTGGCAATCTGGGCCTCCAGCAGGCGGATGCCGTGCTCCCGGACGATGAGGTCCTTCTTCATGGCCTGGAAGAGGGAGATCTGCTCCCCGGTGTAGGGGTCGGTGTAGCCGGTGACGGCACGCTCAGCCGACAGCAGCCTCGCGAACGCGTCGGGCCCAATGGCGCCAGCCCTCAGCGCCTCCTCCACCGAATACCCCTTGTTTTCTTTCGATGATGAAGCCACTGACTGCTCACGTCTCCAGGAGGGTGAGGGCTGTGCCGGGCCTGAGAAGCCCCTTCCTACAAGTCTCGTGGATGCTGAGGGGCTCCTGGGAGCCGGGCAGCAGCAAGCCGGCGATGTACCTCTGCACCGAGGCCAGGCTGCCCACGTCCTGGGCCATGGTCCGGCCTCGTTCCAGCTGCTCGTACATGCCCTGGTTGATGATCTCCACTCTCAGAAGCTCACCTGGAGTCACGGGCATCCTCACCCAGCAAAGGTGGTCCTGGCAGTGGCTGCAGCCTGCTCGTGGGTGGCCCTCAGCGCAGCCGCCAGCTCCTCCACCAAGAGGGCCCCGTCCTTGTGCTGCTGGCTCAGCGTCACCCTCTGCTCCACGGGGACTGCCTCGGAGAACAGCAGCTCCCAGAGCGACACGGGCCGGCCCTGGAACTTGCCCATGGAGACGGTGGCCACGGCAGCTCTCAAGGTCTGCCAGGTGCTGTGCTCAGTGAGCGGGGGCCCCTGTGGCTCCGCTCCAGGGCTCCCCACTGAGATGGGCAGGAAGGCCAGCCCTGTCTCTGGGTCGGTGACACAGTGGGCCAACAGCTGCCCACAGCTGAGGCTCTCCTGCTGCCGGGGTCCGAGAAGCCAGCCGCCTGCGAGAGATGCTGCTGAGTCTCTGTCCAGGCAGCCGAAGTGCAGGGTGGCCTCCAAGGGCAGCCGGAGCCTGCGGGCAGGACACACAAGCCTGCCTGTAGCCAGCTGGGCAACCAAGAGCCTCAGCACCGGAGGCCTGTCCACCAGCTCCCTCTTCATGGCCTGGAATAGGGGGATTCGGATGCCACTGAAGGGGCCATGATACCCCGTCACCACCTGCTCTGCTGCCAGGAGCTGCCTGTGGAGCTCTGGTCCAAACAGGCCTGCCCTGACCGCCTCATCCAGCCACAGCTGCCGGCCGGTGGCCGGGTCCACCAGCATGCGGGTGGCGTCCTGAGCCTCCCAGACCGGAAGCGTGGCGCCCGTGGGGAGCAGGTGCTCGGCTAGGCCTGGAAGAAGCTCTTGTGCCCTGCAGGCAGCAGGACGAGCCCTGCCACACCGCCGGTGCCCTGCGGGTGGCGCTGCACCTCGGTGCGTGCACCCACATCCGGCACTGCCAGCCTGCCCTCCCGCAGGCCTGGACCGTCTCCGCGTCCAGGACCCCCACCTCCAGCAGCCTGGCCAAGCTCGGTGCCCCACTCAGCGTACGGAAAGTGATCTTGAGGGGCAGCAGGCCCAGCCCCGTGCTGGGGGCCTGCACACACCTGCCTAGCAGCTCCCGGTATGGCAGCTGCTCCGGCGTGTCGGGGTCCAGGAAGCCTGGGGCACTTGAGCTGGGCCCAAGCTCCAACAGCCCACACCATGTCTCCCGGTCCAGGAGGCTTTGCTGGCAGGCCAGCTCAGAGGCCACGCGCATGCCCTGGATGGGGTCCACCAGGCCCCCCGTGGCCTCCTGGGCCTCCAGCCAGCTCCACCCCAGTGCCCTGTCCACAACCTCCTTCCCTATGGCCTGGAAGAGGGCCAGCTTCCCACCCCCAGAGGGTCAGGGTACCCAGTGACCACGCGCTCAGCGGCCAGCGGCTTCTCCTTCCGCTCCAGGCCCACCAGGCCCTGCTGCAGGGCCTCAGACACGAGGAGCAGCTGGCCCTGCCCGGGGCCGCCTGGGCCTCCAGCAGAGCCAGCTCGAGCCCAAAGGGCAGGAGACCCTGCTTCATGACAGCGTACACGCCGGCGATGCTCCTGGCCTGGGTGGACGTGGCTGCCTTGGCCTGGGGCCCGGATGGGGTGCCGGTGCCCAGCACGGCCTTCACGGTCTCAGGGACGACAGCCGTCTCAGTGCCATTGGTGACCAGGAGGTTGAGAGGAGAGACGTGGCTGTTCATCACACAGAACTTGCTCAGCCAGGGTCCACCGTCTGCTCCCTGTGGGGATGGAAAGGCTCTGTGAGGGACCCGAGACAGCCCAGGTGGGTGGGAGGGCAGACACGGTCAGGAGGTCAACCCTGCACCCTGGACCCACCTCCAGTGCAGCCGGCCCTCCTGAGGGAGGGGTGTCACATCCAGCTTCGGTCCCTCCCCTTGCCCTGCAGCTCCCAGGAGAGGACCATGTGAGCACAGGGACCCCACGGTAGCCTTGGGGGGTGCGGGCTCTGTTTTCTCCTATAGGCCATCCTCTGGCCTCCATCTCAACCCCGCACCCTCATCCCCCTCCCCCCAGGGTCCTGGTGCAGAGGCTTGGCCTCCACCCACCCTTGGCCTCAATACCCAGCCGATGACCAGTCCCTGCCCTGCCCTTGGGTGGTCTCCATGTATTCGTGTGCTTCTCCCTCCCCCTTCCCAGTGACCCCTCCAAATTCTTCCCCACCTTAACCCACTGCCGCCCTGGCCTCTGCTCCCTCCTGGCTCCCCACCGGGCTTCAGCCAGGTCCCTGCCCTCTGTCCCAAGTCTCTCACCTCAGCCCGGCTGTGTCCCCCTCTGCCCACCCTGGCCCCATGTCCTCTGGAAATAGGGTCTTTGCAGATGTAATTAAGTTAAGGTTAAGGTGAGGTCACACTGGTGTAGAGAGGCCCTTATTCCAACACGACTGTGTCCTCACAGGAAGACAGACAGGGGGATGATGCCCAGCCCACAGAAGCAGACTGGAGGCGTGCAGCTTCAGGCCCCAAACCCAGCATTGCCACCAAACGCCAGAAGCACTGATTCCAGATCCTGGCCCCTCAACTGTGGAAGAATAAGGTTCTGTTGTTTGAAGCCTCCCGGGCTGCGGTAATTGTTCCCTCCCGGCCCCAGGAGCCAGTCCACGTCCTGCTTCCACAGAACCACACCTGCAGTCCCCGGTCCTGGTCCACACTGTCCTCGCCTCCCGCAGCTCCCCAAAGCCTCACACGGGGTCTCGGGAGAAGGCTCAGCCCCACGCGCCCTCGCCCCCGCTCCGCAGCTCTTGCTGAGGTAACCTCGGACTCCAGCTGCCAAACCCCACAAACGCATTTTCGATTTGACCTCCCGACCTCTGGGTCACGGGGCATGGGGGACCCTCCTCCCTGGTGACATTTCCCCGTTCAGCCGGAGAGCTCCCCTGACCGCAGCTGGAGCCCAGCCTGTCCTGGGGTCACGGAACCGCGTGTCCAGCTGCCTCCTGGACACCTATGCCCAGCGGTCTTGCAAGGAGCCTCAAGTTCCATGGTGCCCCCAGAAGTGCTGGCTGTGAGCAGCTCTCCGTCACCCGCTCTGCAGAGCCTGAACCCTAAATCCCCCCACGGCCCCTCTCTCCCCAAAGCTGGGCCCAAGAGGTGCTCCTTTGTGTCTGCTGAGACCCCTGGGCAAAATCCTGTTGCCCCCTTTCCCTGCCCGGATGTTGGGCCCAGAGCCCCGGTGGCGCCTTCAGCTGGGCTGCTGCTGAGTCTCGGAGTGCGTGCCAGGCCCGGGCAGACGTGGAGGTGGTGGCTTGGCGCTCACCCGCCCCCGCCCCCACCCCCGGCCAGGTTCCAGGAGGCACGGCACTTGCTTTCCCGAAGCGAGCAGGCCGTGCAGTGCGGGCGCGCAGGGCACATCATCATGCCTTTGAGAAGGTGGGAAGAGGACGTGGGGTGGGGAGAGAGGAGCGTTGTTAAGATCCAGGCCTTGGGCTTCCCTGGTGGCGCAGTGGTTGGGAGTCCGCCTGCCGATGCAGGGGACGTGGGTTCGTGCCTTCCCGGTCCGGGAAGATCCCACGTGCCGCGGAGCGGCTGGGCCCGTGAGCCATGGCCACTGAGCCTGCACGTCCGGAGCCTGTGCTCCACAACGGGAGAGGCTGCGGCAGTGAGAGGCCCACGTACCGCAAAAAAAAAAAAAAAAAAAAAAAAGATCCAGGCCTTGGGAAAGAACACAAAAGGCTTTGTTCGAGTGACCAGCTGGACGCCTGAGCAGGGTTCCAGGGCTCGGTGTGACCGTGGTGGACGCAAGGCTGCCCTGACCTCCTTCTAGGGGTGGCTGAGGCTGCCCTGACCTCCTTTTAGGGGTGGCTGAGACTCTGCACCACCAGCCAGCTTGTCTCCCTGCCATCTGCTTCCTCCCCTCCTTCCCCAGGAGCCTTCCCGAGGCCACTCCCTGAAACCGAGTCAGACTCTGCTTCCGCGAGCTGACCTGGACGCGTGCTGTGCTGCCCACCTGCCCAGTGACCAGTCTGCTTCCTTTGTATGGTGTGCCTCGTTCCAGGACGGCCTTCAGAGGGTTTGTGAGCAGAGGAAGCCTCAGGTAACAGGGCCACCGGGGTGGCTGGAGCAGTGAGCTGATCACCTGAAGTCTGGCAGGGGACCAGGGTGGGAAAGAAAAAAGGCACTTCGCTACCCAGCAAAGGCGGGAGGGCTTTCTGGGCCACGGGGTCAGGAGCAGCCAGTGGGGGGCGGGGGGGCGGGCTGCAGGCTGTGTTGTCCCGCCGGGAGCCCAGCAAGGAAAACCAGAGAAGCAGGACAGACTCCTGAGCAGGAAGCTCAAGTTTCCTGAACAGCAGGGATTCGTGGGAGGGAGGGTGCTGGGTCCCTGAGGGCCATTGTGGGGGGAGGGCCTGAGGGGCTGGGAGAGGCCCTGTGCCTGCGGCTCTGCCCGACGCAGCTGGGTAACTGTGGCTGGGCCATGGCCTGTTTGGTCAGCAGCGACCTTGGGCCTGGTACGAGCCTCCCTGGTCCCTGACCAGGCAGGACATGAAGAGGGGCCTGGGAGTGGGTGCCTTGAGTCTGAAGTGGGGACCTTGGGGAAGCAGCTGGACAGAGAGGTCTGGAGCTCGGGAGAGACAGACCAGGGCATGTGAGGGGTGTCCAGGGCCTGGGGAGTGGGAGACAAAGCAATTTCAAGGCTGGGAGACACAGAAGAGCCCAATCGCACAGAAGCCAAAAGACAGGTGTCCCAGAGAGGCGGTTACCAGCAGAAGTGGCAATGGCATGTGGCTAGAGGGGAGGGTGGCCTCGTGGCTGGGGGAGGGGCCGAACGGATTTCCCAGGACTGGAAAGGGACTCTGAGAGGAGGCCCCTCCTGTGGCTTCCTGGGAGCAGCCCCACTTCAGGTGGCCCAAGGGGACAAGAGGTGGGAGGGCAATTCCTGAGGAGGGTGGGTCCACATCCCTGGGAGGGGGCGTCACCTACCAGTACCCTGAAGGGCAGCCCGCACAGGCCAGGCTGGGCTGGGGGTTGCGGAAGGGCCTCTCTGGCTGTCCATCTAAGCCAAATCACAACAGAACCGGATGGCCAGGCTGCCTCAGGCTCACACATGGAGACAGTGACCTTGGTTGGCCTTTGGCCCACTTTGAGCAGCGTCAGAAAGATCCCACCCCCCTGCACTGGGTGCAGACTGCAGGGATCGGTGGCCATACGGAAACTCGGCACGATGGGCGGGTCAGGGAGAGAGCAGAGTCACGGAGGCTGGAACCCATGGCAGAGCCCCTCCCGCCTCTACCTCCCAAGGGCCTCGAGATGGCCCCACGCAGGGGTCCCTGGTGCCCATCCACCCCCGACGGCAAGTAGCTCCCTCCGTCGGTAAGCACTGCCCTCCCTCACCCCAGCAACGGGCCAGGAGCCATCCCACCCTCTCAATTTGTCAGCCTAATTGCCTCGCGCCCTGGGCGGGACCGGCTCCAGCTGCAAGGCAGGGGGCGGGGCAGGAAGGAATCGGACCTGCACGGCCCCACCCAGGCGCGCACCAGTCCTGCCCGGAAACCCCTGGGCAGGCGAGACCCCTGCTACGTCTCCCACGCCCGTGCGGGGAACCAGGCTCCGGGGCGACTGCCAGGACTCCCGCGCACCAGGGCTAGTTGGGAGGGAACCGGGCCTCAGAGCCCCGCTTGCCCGGAGCGGAGCCCAGAACCCCGGGCCACCTCCGGGCGCGTCGCGCCCGCCCCAGCCTCTGCAGGCCCCAGGCCGAGAGCCCCCGTAGGTGTCTCGGCTTCGCTCGGCGGCCGCCCCGCCCGGGCCGGCCTGGCTGTCCCACCTGCCCGGACGGTGCCCGCAGCACTCCGTACGCAGTCCCTCCGTTCGCTGCTGTGCCTGCGACCGGCGCCTCCCGGTTTAAACCCGCTCAGGCCCCTCCCCGGGGCGGCACGTGGTGCTTCCGATGGGTGCGGGCGCCCTGAAGCCGGGAGGGGCGCGGGACCGGGAAGCCCACGCGGGGCTGGGTCGACGCCCCCGCGCGCTCCCCTTGGCCGCCACGGTCTGTGAACACCCCTAGGCGGGGAGGAGGGCGGCTGCCGAGGAGCAGGGTCCTCTCGCTCCTACCCAGCCCCTTTCGTCAGCTCCCCCAGAGTCACCGCGAAGGAACGCGGGCGGCCGCAGGGAGCAGGGTGCGTCCCGCGCCGCCCTGACGGCCTCTGAACGGGGTTTGCAAGGTAAATGCGGCCCCGCCCGCCGCGCGCAGAGTTTCGCTTTACAAACGTGACTTCATCGCCCGAGGGGGCCCATGGGGCCGCTGGTGCAGGCGTTGACCTCGACCCAGGGACCCCTCTTGTCCAGTCCCCTTCGTCGTCCAGGCCTCGCTCCCGCCTCGGGGCCGGCGGCTTGCGCTGCTGCTTCGTCCTGGGGCTGCCGGGCCAGGCTGTCCTCAGAGGCTGCCTCCATGACCGAGTGGCTTCCCTGCCTTGACCGTGGAAGAGATGGGGTCTCTGTCCCCAGCAGGCTTCCAGTCTGTCTGGAAGGGATGACCAGGCCTTGCCCCATGGGTTCAGCACCTCCACCTGGGATCGGAGCAGGCGTTCTGTCCAGCAGGAGGACCTGGGCCCCTTCTCAGACTCCAGTCCCAGCGCCCACCTTCCGGGGCCGGGGACTCCTGGAGCAGCTGAGGAAGAAGGGCCAGAGCCTGGCAGGCTGGGGCCACAGCCCAGGACAGGAGCCACACGTGGATCTTCTGGCTGGTCCTCCCCTTTGCTGCCCAGAGATCCCAGATGGATGGGATGGAGCAGGTGCCCCTTGCCCCCCAGGGTCAGGACCCAAGGCCTGTCCTCCTCTGTCCCCAGTCCCGGCCCTGAGGACTCAGTCTTTCCCCTTCCCCAGGCCTCACTTCTTTCCGGGTCGTTCTCAACCAGATACTCATCCAGGGCCACCCAGCCACCTCCGACACGTACCATGAGAGCACCTTGAGACACCTGCGCAGGCACAGGGGCTGGGGGGCCGGGCTTCCAGGGTAGAGGGTGCCGGCGTTGGCTCCCGTGGCTCTGTCCTCACTCCCACCCCCAGGCCCACGCTCACACCTGCTCACCAAGGCTTCCTGGGCCCTGGGCCGACCTTTGGCCGCCTGTGTCCTTGTCGCTGTCTGCGTACCCCACCCTGGCTATGCTATGTGGCTGCTGCTGGCCGCTGGAGAGGCCTGACCTGATAGAGTAGTGAGCTCCAGCCTGGGCCCCTACCCCCCCCCCCCCCCCCCGGAGCCAACGCCGGCCCCCCCCCCCCCCCCCCCCCCGCCCCCCCCCCCCCCGCCCAAGGCATGTCAGGCCAGCTGCCTTCGGCCCGTCTCTGCTCACCAAACGCCAGGACGCCGTCCATGAGGTCCCGCTGGGAAACGTGCCGAGCTGGCTGTGGCTCGTGGCCGGGAGTGCAGCCCGGAGCCTCTTCTCCATGGGGTCGGGTCACTGCAGGCAGCACTGCTGCCAGGCCACGAAACCCAGGTGTGGGCCAGCTCCTCGCTGTGGGAAGGAGGTGTGAGGCTGCCCAGGCCTGGGTCTCTCTGTGCCCAGGGGTGGGTAGCACGCCTGCCTGTGCCGTCCCTGCCCCAGCCGTGCCCACTGGTCCTCATCCCTCCGGCTCCTCTCGCTGTGGCTCTAGCCCCCTGTGGTGGCCTCCAGCTCAGATCTTCCAGGAACCCTCCCGGGGGGCAAGCCTCGATGACCGTCCTGCTCCCGAGGCCCTTGGGCTGTCCCTGGTCAGCCAGAGCTGCTGCCGTCCTTGGAGCTCTGGTTACCACCGTTCTATGAATAACCACTGGGGACCGCGTATAAGTGGCATCATGCCGTGTTCGTCCTCTTGTGTCCAGCTTATTTTACATAGCGTAGTGACTTTAAACTTCATCCGGGCTGTATCAGACATCAGGATTTCATTCTTTTTAAAGCCTGCCCCGTATTCCATTGTGTGTATATACCCAATGTGCTTTATGCTTTCATCTGTTGGTGGATACTTGCGTTGCTTCGTCTTTCCTTTCTGAAAGCTTACCCTCACTCATGTTGCATGTCAGGGGCTGGCTGAGGCTCCGCTCTGCCACCTTCACTTCAGGATCCAGGCTGATGAAATTACCATAATCTGGAATATCGCTGGTCCTCCTGGCTTAAGGAGTGAGAACTTGGGAAGGTCTTATACTGGCAACTAAATGCTCTGGTGTGAAGGGGCCACGTGCCACTTCCTCTCATACCCCACTGGCCAGCACTGGTCATATGGTCCCCCTGACCACGAGGGGTGGCAATGCCGTCCTCCTGTGCGCTGGATGGAGTAGCGCTGGTGAACGGTACTCGTGACCACACAGCCCCTCATTCAAAACCATCACACTTATCCCACCTGTCATGATTTTAGTCATTCAGTTTTGTAGTTCATCCTCTAAATCAGCGGTCCCCAACTTTGTGGCACGAGGGACCAGTTTTGTAGAAGATGGTTTTTCCATGATGCGGGGATGGAGGGGGAGGACGGTTCAGGAGGTAACGCGAGCGGTGGGGAGTGGCAGATGAAGCATCACGCGCTTGCCCGCTACCAGTCCGCGGCCGGGGGCTTGGGGACCCCTACTCTAAATAATGAGGAGCACAATTTGACGCCAATGATTGCTTTCCTCATAAGTGGTCTGGCATCGTGCTATGACAGTTCCTATGATTTCTGCCAAGTGAAGACTATTGACTTTATCCCACGTGTGCAGTTGTTCGGACGCTCTTCTGACCCCTAGACAGCGCCTCACCCAAAGCTGAACCTACTACAGGCACAGCCCAGAGATCACCTACAAGGTAACATTTCTGCCATTGAATAACTTGGGGTTTAAAACCTGAACTTCATAGAACATGTGTATCACTCAGTTCTCTTTCTAGCGATATTTACACGGGAACATTTTATCTTCACATCACCCCAGATCAATAAACGAGCTTTAATTGAACAGTGTGCAGGGGAAATCTTGAATGAAACCTCAGATAGGATGGCTAGATGGCCATGACCACCTGAGGGTGTTGTGCAAAGCTCGGGGTCAACAAATGTCTGTGTGGGTGATGGGATGGGGTGGGGCTAAAAGAAGCCACGTCCCTGCAGATGGACTTGTTAGCATCCGTGTTCATCGCCGTGTTTGGGAAGCAGTGTGTTTAGCACTTCACACTCACTTATCTGTATGTGTACTGAGTGGCTTTTAGTTACATTATAATTTTCCCCACGTAGATGTCCAACTGATATTTTTGTGGAGAATGTCTAATTCTTGGGAATATTCTCTTGCCATTAAAGGGAAGAGGCCTGTGTGTGATCAGTCACAGTACACGGCCTAAATTTTTTTTTCATATAATGTCTATTCCATAGCATAGGTTATCTTTTTCAAACTCTAAAAAAACTTTGCACACTCGCTATTATTACTGATGTGCAAATCACATTTTCACGTTTACTAAGATTGTGGATAAATGCTTTGTCCCCATCCTCACTCATCAGATCATTTTTTTCATGCCAAAAGAGGTTGAAATCAAGGCAAAATACATAATCCTTTGAGTGTCATATATTATAAAGAAACCAGGCTCTGGGGCTTCCCTGGTGGCGCAGTGGTTGAGAGTCCGCCTGCCGATGCAGGAGACACAGGTTCGTGCCCCGGTCTGGGAGGATCCCACATGCCGCGGAGCGGCTGGGCCCGTGAGCCATGGCCGCTGAGCCTGCGCGTCCGGAGCCTGTGCTCCGCAACGGGAGAGGCCGCGACAGTGAGAGGCCCGCGTACCGCTAAAAAAAACCAGGCTCTACATTTTGTTAAATGTCACCTTTTGGAAGAATACATGTTTAATAAGTTTCCAAAAACGTCCTACCTGTGCCTGCTGTTTTGGAGATTAGAAATCTGTATGTGCGGCGGACAGGTTTCAAGACCAGTGTCCCGTGTTTGATATTCCCAGTGGGGGATTTCCTTGAAGACGCTTGCTGGTCAGTTCTCTAGCTGAGGAGCCCCTGCGTGTTGAGAAGCACGCGTTGTTCTGGACGACGTCAGAGCATCAGCCCCTTCAGCGACTGGACTGTTTCTTCCTCAGGAGTTGGTGTGGAGCCTCCCAGACCAAACACCACACTCCCTTTCTCTGTCAGAAAGCTGGGGTAAATTGTATATATTTGTATAACTGAAACACTTTGCCGTATGCTTTAAACTATATGTCTATATATATATATTTGTGTGGGGGGGGGGTACGCAGGCCTCTCACTGCTGTGGCCT